GTTGCCAGTCGCTACAATGAAGTGGAGCCGTTAACGACCAAAGATTCGAGTCATGTCGCTAAGGCCTTAGAAAACGTCCATGAAAACATACCGCATCAACCGAGCGGATATCAAAGACGACGAACCGAATCTGTATTACTTGCAAGACGGACCGGGTAGGGGATTCGTCCGAGAGGAATTGATGATTGTCCCTCACGACATGGTATTGCCCCCTTCTTATTAAAGATTCGTCTTATGTCTCTCATTATCAACATGTGGAGATTGATCAAGAAACGGTTGTTCAGACACGTTGGGGTGGATATTTACGAGTCATAAGTCGAGGGAAATTTATCAGCCTGTACGATAGTTTAGGTCTCATGGGCATCAAACGGTTACAACGTCTCATGGATATGTTAATCGATTATAGCCTGACAACCAGGGAACGCACCACCCCGTACTCCACCTACTCTGTAGCTTACTTGGACGAGTTTATGGCAGACCCACTCCATAAAGTTGTCGCCGAATATTACGGCTACATTTAAATCCAGTCCAAACCCCGTTTGCTTTCCAAGTTTATGTAAACCGATTTTAAAATAATTGTTTTCAGCTATAGACTGGTTCTCTTGAAACTTTTAACAGTGACCGGTTTTAAAACTGGTTTCAAACATCCTTTTCGCTACAACCAGCCAACAGCCCTTATAAGGCTGTGTGCCTTGCTTTTTATTCAATACCCGCGTGACAGGCCACAGCCAGAGAAATACTCTGACGTCAGGTCTAGATGGCATTGCTAAGCTCGGCCGCCACCTTTGTTTGGCTTAGCAGCGACGGGTCTGGCAGGCCCGGCGTTACTAGGCTGGAAGGCCATCTTTGTTTAGCCTAGCAATTACGGGTCTGGCAGGCCCGGCATTACTAGGCTGGATAGCCATCTTTGTTTGGCTTACCAACAACGGTCCTATCTTGGTTCACTTGCAAAAGTTTCCGCCGATACCCCGTCTCGAACTCGCGTGGCTTGATACGAGTCCTACGCTCTACCATCACACCACCGGAACTCCTGATCAGTCAATATTCGGAACTTTGGGTCTACGCTGGAGGTACATCTAAGGATGCCTCTCGCTAGACCATCGCCGTTTTTAAGGGGGCTGGGGAATTTATTTCATAAAAATAAGCCTCTAAGCCGCATCTGCGGCAAAACCCACCCCTACTACTACTACAGTAAACTACTGTTTAAAGCGTTTGACAGATACGATACCATATGATTGCATCTTTGCTGTTCAAGGTTAGGAGTATATGAATTTACCATGTTTCAAATTCATTTTATAAGTAAAATTATGTATATTAACATCAATTCCTAACTTCATAATGATAGATTTTTCAACATCATAAAGCACTGTCGATTATATTATTATTATTTAATGCAGGTCTCGGCTGTTTTGTCACATGCCTTCACTTAGTTGTACCGCTGACAGGTTGACAAATCAAGAGTTGTGTTTCACATGGAGTTGCCTTTTCATCCAATCAGAGCCAAGGTTACATGTCAGCTTCGTGCACAATACGAGCCTTCGTTTTGTATAACAGCTTGCTAAGTAACTCGTAGAATGCAGATTGAAGTTCACCACAGGTAAATAAAAACTAATTATTTGCACATTTGACAGGCATTGAGATAGCGAATGGCATTCTGAACACATTTATTGAATTTAGTTGGACCGCTTTCATTTTCTGATTGTCTCAGCATGGCATCAAATCGATAATTGAAATGTAGGTCTAATGAACATTCTCGAAAAACAAGCAACACACAGCACACTTTTTAACACATTTATTAACAGTATATCGTTATGAATACTGATTACTTTCTCTCTCCGGATAAAAACGAGTTCAGACGGAATTTTCAGACCCTGTCAGCATAAGCCGCTGGTAATTATCAAAACAACCGGGAACACTTTATTACAATCAAACAAGAACTACCGGGGATATTTTCAAACAATCAGTGTTCCCGGTTGTTTTGAAAATTATTGCAAGATAAAGAATATGCTAATATAGTGAATGAAACCATTCTGAAGATTAAGGCTCAATATGCTGAAAGTGATTGTATATTACAAGACATCAAAGATATTCCTGACAGTGAAATTAAATTTAAGATTAACGATCAGTTATTTTTTTGAGGTCTTGTTGATGGAAATAAGAGTTAAATCTATATCTTATGCTTCTTACAAGAAAAGAGAAAGAGTTAAAAAAGAGCTAGAATTAATTGACAAAATTAATGATATTGAATTTTGTTCTAATATTAACTTTCAAGATCTTGAAGAAAAGAGAAAGGAGTTAGAAGAAATAAGGAAAGTAAAGATGGATGGTATTGCTGTACTGTCAAGAGCTAGATGGATTACAGAGGGTGAAAAAATTAGCAAATACCCAGTTTTTACTTGGATGTCCATATCCATTCAAAATTTTATTCCCTCACTCATGGCTTTAAATATGGCATCCACGTCAGCGACATCAACTTAACAGTTGGAAGCTGACGTACACATCAACACATCAACAACAACCCAACACAATATCTATATCAAATGCTGTATCATCTATCATTCCACTATAGTGACTTATTCTATTTTTAAAAGACTAGGTTTGATAAGGGGTATACTTGGCCCATGGATATCTGAATCATATTTCATTTACCAAAAGTGATTATGGATTAGTAAACAAGCTTATGTGAATAATGTTCCATTGCATTTATACATAAATACAACAAATATTTGAATAGAATAGAATAGAATAATATTTTAATGCCTTTCCAGGAATCTGTGTTACATCAGCAGAGCTACTGACACATTAGAGAGATTCAAAACATTTACATAAATTCATTGATTTAGTTATCTTCACATTTGTTTCAAAGAGATATGGTACTTGGAATAAAGGATGTACGGGCTCTCTTAGTTTTCACAATTGGAACTTTGTAGTGGCGGCCTGAAGGGAGGAGGTTGTATTTCGATTTTAATTTGATTCACGTTTTGCCGCTCATATATTGATGATAAACATTCAAATCTGACTCCAGCCATTTTACTTGCAGTGTTAATAATTTTGTCTATTTTAGATTTGAGATGAACTGAGAGAGACCCGTACCAACAATGGAAGGAAAATGTTAAAATACTCTGGATAAATTCTGCATAAAAAGATGACATCACAGATGGGTTAACATTAAAAGATCTCAGTTTACGCATGAGATGAAGACGTTGTTGACACTTTTTGTATAGGGCTTCAGTGTTGAGAGTTCCAGTTCAGCTTAGAGTCAATGAAGGTTCCAAGATAATAAGATTAGATAATAAACAGCATGATAAGAGAGCAAGCAACTTGTGTATATTACATCTTATTTACCCATCAAATGGGTTTACGTCTAATGGTGACATAATTTGGACAGATGAAGAACTAATGCAGAGTTTCTTCATAGGAATGGTGACAGGAGTAGGATGGATTTAGAGATGCATGCGGTTCAAACATGTATGCATTCAAATCACTACACCCAAGCCCAACCTTTCCCCAGGGTAATAATATCCTAGGACAAAACCTCTTCGGGGAAAATTTGGCCTAGGCCAGATTCTCCCCGGGGAAAGTTTATACTGGGGAAGAAATGTCCTGCTACACCGGTACCATGGTGCTCTTTGAGTGGGAATTGGAGTCTTCTTCACATAAGCTGAACATGATTTACACCACACCTCCACATCTTCAGAATGAACAAAGTTTTTGTTAACTTTTTAAATCACTAAAATATATCAATGTTGAATGTGATGCTATGAATACTTTATTTACAAAACTGAAGAGAAACATTAGCATGGCATGTTGACAAGAAATCCTATTCGGTCGAACGAGGGACCACATTGTGCAGAATTGCAAGCCTGACACTGAGAAGTATGGACAAAGGTTTGAAGCCTACTACAATAGGGGGTTGATGCGCTACTTCCCGATATCAAATTTTCAAGATTAGACTCATAGTGATGAAAAACATTATGTACCAAAGCCTATTCGTCTCCCCTCTCTGCCTTCTTTGACAATTTGTATGCCGATTCGGGATGCTATGACTGCCGTGTTGGGATGCTATGACTGCCGTTTTGTACGCTGGGCGACCGTTCCTGCACGCTCTTGTAGCTGATATGCGAGTTTTGTTTCCATTTCAAACGATTAGTCTTCCATTACAGGTATATTGTTTCTGTTTTAGAGGATATTCTTGCAATTTGGGAAGTTTATTTTCCTAGTTTGGTGATTTAATTTTTGTTCTGTTTTGGTGTATATGAGTTCAGTTTTGATGATTTGTTCACCGTTTGTATGGTAGGCCTGTATTTAGGGATTTCCAGAATTTTTATTTTCCATTTCCATGGCAACAAGTTTGACTTTGACTCTGTTCATAGAAGTGTCCTTGTCTGGACCATATTTCTGAAACTGATAAGTATTCATTTACAAAACTTTGCACACAATTTTATCAGGATGTCAGCCATTGCCTTTTGATATTTAGGACTTTTTAGAATATAAATGTTTCCTGCAACCATGGCAGCGAGCTTGACTTTGACTCTGTTCATAGTAGTGTTTTTGTCCATATCATATCTATTTACACAAAACTTTTCACACGCATTGATCAGGTTGTCAACTGGTGCCTTTTGATATTTAGGGATTTTCAGAACAAATGTTTCCTGTTACCAGGAGCTTTGTAACATGTATATAATAAGCCATCTGCCATTTCTGCCATTCACTTGATCATCTAAACACAATAAAACCTGAATTGCATGTTTAAAGTACCTTATCCCTCTTCCTTTTTTTCAATAGCTCAATAACCTGTATACAGACACATGGATGCATGCATATGCTCTCATGAAGTTGGACATGTGACTCGTGTAGGACTTGATGATTATCTCTATCAAATTTTTGGGAGACTCAGACTTAATCTCTTAATCTTCTTGTTACAGAAGTAAGCAACACACTTTACTATCCATTGCAAGGTATAAGTGGTAGGATAATTCAATTAAAAAAAAGCAAGAAGATTCGAGCTGGGTCAAGTTTATTAACCCCCAAACATACATAAGTAAGAATCTGTCCAGGTTAATAAACTACACAGTGACAAGAGAGACTCCCCACAAAGAGGGGTAATCCTCTGCTATGAACATAAAACTTAATTGGTACATGACAATACAAATTGGTTAAATTGCTAAAGTATAAGAGAAGTGCTTATTAACTTGCTTGATGTCGATTAAGTGAGCGTAGGAGATAATGCAAAGCATAGCGAGCCAACAACAACTGACCAGTAAAACTACTGGGTGTGGTGGGAGGGTACGAATCTTTGCTGCACAACACGGCTGCGGCCATGATAAAAAAACATGTAAAATGCGGAATGCAACAAAAAGGTGGATTGTGCAATAAGTGGAAAATTACTGACACAAACGAACTACGTAAAATATAATTTATCACAAAATTAAAATTTTACTATCCATTGCAAGGTATAAGTGGTAGGATAATTCAATAAAAAAAAAGCAAGAAGATTCGAGCTGGGTCTAGTTTATTAACCCCCAAACATACATAAGTAAGAATCTGTCCAGGTTAATAAACTACACAGTGACAAGAGAGACCCCCCAACCCCATTAGGGAAGGCCCGATGAGAAAAGATGAAGAGACTGGAATCTCTGTGAAACTGTGGGGTCCAGATAACGCAAATAGGCATTACTGCGCCAAAAACCCAACTCCTGAATGTTGGCATGAGAAAGGCCCATATGGGCTGCCCACTGGGCCCGGCCCCTGCAAAAAGAATGTCCAGTTAACTTGACAGAGGCATGGCCAGCTCTATGTAAACAAGAGTTCTCAAAATCAAGAAACACAGAATATAACAAAGGTCTGTCATATTCATCTCTCAGCAAAGCACTCTTCTGTTGCGATTTCAGCTGTAAATGAAAATAAAACAGTTTGGTCAGAGCTGTGACTGGGCACAGAACAGACTTCTCCAGTGACAGAAGCGTAACATACACTTTCCTCTGACGGAACTGAATAGTCTTTGTCCAGTGTAACGTTATAACCGCTCCTTGCGGGTGACACGACACATCCCCGACACAACAGCTTCCCTTTTCCTGCCTCTGAAAGGGATCTGCACAGGAAATTAGCCGAACGCAATAAACCATAAAAGGCAATCATACATCCTGCCCAAACTGAGCAGTGAAACATATTGTCCCAAGACAATGTACTATGTAGGGCCAATAACAAGTCTGGGGTAACAGGTGTAGCACCATGTTGCTCCTCACCAAGCTCCCTTCTCATACCCTGCAGAACATGGTGGGGTGTCCACAATGCAAAGGGATCCCCTAAATTATGTTGCTTGTGAAGGGTTCTAACAAATACATATATAACTCCGTATAGAGGCAAAACACAACCCCTTGAAATCGGCTAAATATGCAAGGTAGAGACTGGAGTGTTCACTCGACAATGGCACAGGTTCAATGTTCAATAAGTGGCAGAAATCTAGGTAGCATTGCAAATGCTGTCTGTATGTCCGTTTGGTAGATTCAGCCCATCCCTTGCTTGATGTAAGTGATCACCGACTGTTCCAACATCTCCCGCATCTCTTGTCGCCGACCACCTGGAAACGATAAACTGCATTGACATATGCTGTGAAAGCTTGGAAATATTAAAAGGCACATAACCCAAAGCATATACCAAAAGCAGATGGTAAAACTGAGATAATCTTTCCGGTTCATGCAGACGAGACAAATTATCTGCTACTACATTGTTCCTACCGGGAATATATACAGCTTTAACTAAGAAGTTGTAGCAGGCACTAAGCCAAAACAGATGACGTAAGCCTGGCATGACACCATGAATACATGAAGAGCCCTTATTAATTGCAAACTTCGCCATATATTGTCAGTGAAGACTACCACAGTCTTATTTGCAAAGTGGGGGCCCAACGATCAACCGCGGCAATAATAGACAAAGTCTCTTTCAAGTTTATGTAATGCGAATCTCTAACATCAGGTCTATCTTCCTGCCAACTGATGTAGAAATAGTCCCCACAGTAATAGCCTGCACCCCCTTGGTCACAGGCATCAGTCTGCAGGGATGTGATGGGCCTATTGTCAATGAATGGTACACAACCATTGAAAACAGACATAAATGAAATCCACCAATCTATGTCCTTCTTAAAATCACATGATAGTTTGATTTTGTGTCCAGGCTTTTCAGGGCAGTACTACAATCAATTATCTGGCCGCAAGAAAGTTTGCCCCCCTTTAACAACTCTAAATGCCCAATTCAGTTTCCCTATCAATTGCTGTAATTCCCGCTTAGAGGCTCTTGATTTTGTGCTAAAGTTTTTGATCACATTCATGAAGTCCTGTAGTTTTGCTGTTGGTAGCGACAGGGTAAGAGCTCAGGTGTCTACCAAAATGCCAAGGTAAATCAATTTTTGGGAAGGTCCAACCACTTTTTTCCAATTAATGTAAAATCCAAGCTCTCTGAGAACCCTCAATAACACATTAAGTCCTATCAAACACATGTCAAAACTCTTTTCAATCACCAAAAAATCATCAAGGTATGATATCACAGTGAATCCATATCTATAGTGCATGATGCGGCACACTGCACTAGACAATCTTTGAAACATTTGAGGGGCCTTGGCACTGCCAAAAGGTAGATGTTTGTCATACAGGAATGTATTGTTCTTGTCACCTGAAAATTTCCAAGAGAGACCAGTCAACTTGTAGTTTGATTTATGAAGCTTAACTGATCTATACGCACTCTTCAAATCAACTTTTGCCAGATAATCACCTGGCTTTAAATATTTGCAGGCATCGTCCAAATCCATGTATGAGCATGTAGTATCCTCCACATACGAGTTCAAACCTCCATTCACCGGCAGACTTGCATCGTGAATTAGACGCACAGAACCATCCTCTTTTGGTATCGCACCAAGAGCTGAAACAATTAGAGGTTTCTCAGCACAAATTCCATAATGTCCCTGTTGAATTCCAAGGATAAGCTGCTCCTCAACTTTGTCTCTGTGCTCAAAAGCCGAGCGGTGGTTATGTTGATACACAGATTTTACACTGGAAATATCCTTGTCCACTAAATTAAAACCATTACTCACACCATTCAAAATATAACACCTGTCCACGTCACTCTCAGGTAGGAGCCTAAACCATGCTTCTGGCTGAAGGCACCCATGGAGATGTGCATCACTATCTACTCGTGTCTGTCTACTTTCATTCCCTCGTTTTTTGCAAACTGAGTGCTACGCTGTTGAAAAGAGTGGTCTGATGGAGATCCAGTGACAGACGGTGCTGCTGAGCGATGACGTGCAGCACCATGAGAGAATGATTAGCACAGGGCACAACTATGGACAAGCTTGCATTTCGTCTCCAGACGGTTACAGTTATCCACGTTATAACGCCGGCAGATTTCCCTTCCATCTGGCATGAATGGACCTTTGTGAGATGCATAACGTTTGTTACAAACATTCGAGTTCTGGCCCACCTCTTTCATCATGTGCATAGCAGTGCCAGTGGCACTAGTGGCTTTAGGAATCAGGTAGAAATTGCGGACGTCCGGTTGGGGAGATCCCCAAGGGAATCCCTCGGCTGCCTGCCGCTCGCGATATTCTTTGTCGAATAGTAGTACGCTGTGCCAGACATTATTAGAAGCCAGACGCATAATTGTTTGCATATATTTTATGTACCCAGGATGCTCAGATGAAGGCAATTCCTTCATAATGCCTAGACTGGCGAATGTCCATTGTTCCATAGAAATCTTGCCCAACGACAATTTTCGTGATCCACCCAATCGCACTATAGCTCCACCTCCAATGTCAATTATACTCCCCTCTTCCAAAATATCTAGGGGGTTTGTCCATATATAATCTGTTATAGTCTTAGCTTTTTTACCTCTTCCCATTAGACCATCCACTGAGTCCTGGTGTATCCTTGTGTATTCGGTTTTCGGTCATGTAAGGATTGTCGACCAACGTAACATTAAGTGCATAAATAAATCGATAATAAACAAACCTACCTCGTTTGTTTGTTTGTTATTTATTTATGATATTCAAATATCTGACGGATTAACCTCGTGTTTCACCCGCACAGCAGGCCTCATAGTTCGCTATGCAAAGATCGTGAATGCGGAAGTGACGTCATCTGTTTTCGTTCACTTCATTGGTTCTCCGTAAAACAGAAATCTAATAGCAGTATTCGTGCTATGCTGATATTTTTATAATATAAAGTAGATAAACATCCAGTCCAAAAAGAATATTTGTAATAGTTCCAATAATAATTATTAGAAACTATGGTCGTAATAATTTTATGTCAGAGTTAATCATGATAAGACTTTGCTAGTTACATCACATGTCCAGGCATGTTTCACTCCTCCGGTTCGCGTTGACAAGGGCACCAAAACTCATCAGATGATCTCACTACACATACGGGGGTGCACAGCTCGAGGTGGACCCAATGACAGCATGCAGGATGAGTACACTGGGCCCATGACACAGAAATGTTCATTGCAGTTTCGAAAATTAAATGAGTATTTTGGAAAATCGTAATAAGAGATGACCCTATCCAGTTTCCATATATTTTTTTTACGACAGCAACGCCACGTGATATGTCATGTGATAATGATACGTCATACCATAAACAAGCAGACGACGCTATACTGAAAAGGTGGAGCTGACGATATTTTAGATATAGCATTTTGATTACATGAAAATTTATGCATTAGTAAACTCGGTTCTAAAACGTAACATCAGAGCTGAAGCAGTCGACCTCCGGCTAAAAATAACCTGTCTGATGACGTAATATCTCGCTAATAATCGCGAGAAATGAACACGCAAATGGCCGACGAAAACAGATGTTGAACGAAAGCAGATGACTCGAGGATACTGCATCCTCGTGTGCATGTTAACCACCCTCCTGTTCAGTTCCCGATGATTTCTCTGACTCAATCTGTTTTAGTAGGTCATCTCTTTTCTTATTCAGTTGCAGAGCTTTTAATTCCCTCTTGAGGTCATTCACCGACAATTCTAACTCTCCCGAATCCTCAGGGCCGCAAGCCAGTGATACTTTACGGTTTTTCCCGCCCAATAACCTCGGGGTCGACACCCCCGCAGCTCCACGTGGCTCGTCATCCATGTCGAAGTCGTCCTCCTCCTTTAGAGCGGCCAACATGTCCCCAAGCTTACTACCCGCGTTTTGACGTCTGTCCCGCGACATCATGTAACTATAGAGTTACAACGCACCAAAACACGCTTGGAATTAGAGTTACTTCCTTACGAATCTTTGCTGCACAACACGGTTGCGGCCATGATAAAAAACATGTAAAATGCGGAATGCAACAAAAAGGTGGATTGTGCAATAAGTGGAAAATTGCTGACACAAACGAACTACGTAAAACATAATTTATCACAAAATTAAAATAATACTATATCTAAAGTGGTGTGTCCTAATAGGATGCCAATATTGCAATACTTCTGTTTCACTTATGCCCTGCCTTTATGGCAAAATCTTGCCACTTGTGTGTTATAGCACCATTTTTCAAGTGATTGCTTCCTGATAAAAGGGAAGGTACCTTTGAAATTTGCAAAACAATAACAAAACTTTATTAATTAGGTTTTCTGTTGAATAAAGATATTAAATGTATTATTCACTGTTTCTGATATAATATCATGTTGTTGTTGTTTCTTTTCAATAAATTGTAAAACAAAGCTAACACCAAACAATGGTGCCTGTAATTTTCATCAAGTTTCACTTTTCTTTTGTCAGTCTTGAAAGATAACTGAATTATAAGGTATCATTGTTTACAAAATGTTAACATTTGCAACTATAAAAGTTTCAAAGCTAGCAAAGTTTTCAAAATATTAACCTTTTTATGATGTACATGTACCTATTGTAGACACTTGTGAACTATGATCATTTTTAATTGTTATGAAAACCATAAATGAGATTGTTCACATTGAATTTTCTATGTTTGTGCAGGTGTTGATATCAAATCAGGCGAGATCTATAAGGCCACATTTTTGGACAAGGGTCCTGATTTGCCTCTGCGTGGGGCACGAACTTTTACTGGGACAAAAGAGGTAGGCTTAGCTGCACATACATGGCATCATGACAGATGCTTCAATTACATGATGTCCTTTGAAGGTTAAAGGTCACATGCAACCAAAAAATCAAACATAATTAAAACACAATTATCACTTATTCATGACATATAATATACATTGCTGGTTATGAAAAAAATATATAAACAAAATTATAAGCGTACGATCTCAAATCAAAAGTGCAATATTGTGTACTTGGGTTTACTTCCCAAGAAATGAAGCAGCCGGGATACCGAACCCAGTCAGAGCGGGTGGGTGTGCACTCAAGTGTAACGGCTGGTTCATTTGCAGATGCCCTCACGGCTCATTGTGTGTGTATACATAGAGATGTTGGGTTTTGTAAATACATGCTCATTTTTTGTGTATAACATTTTGCAATCAACAGACATCATAACATGTCATGTGTACAAGTATCACACCTGCCTGTCTGTGTAATTACATAATGTGACAGAGACCGAACTCGGGCCATAAATCAATGCATTTTGTTTATGGTGTATAGCCTGATTGGTGTTAAGTTCAAATTGCATGTGGTCAGTGATAGCAGCTGTGTATTGAATATTGTCACTAGCAGACAGGCAGGCAGACACATAGGTGTCAATAAAACAGACATTGAGTTTTGTCTGTGACAATGACATATCTATATCACAGTTAGAAATTCTGTCAACGCTAAATAATGACATTGCTTTTAAGTATCGAATTGAGAAAGTGACTCGTTAAGAAGAACGTGTGGTGAAATAGACAAATGAAATTATATTAACAGTTAATCTACTGTCATAACATATAAAAAGCTCGTGCCTGTGAAATATCAACAAAACATTAGAAAAATAGCTCACACCAAAGCCTTCACCGAACATTCACCGGACAACCCGCTTCCAAGCTGCGTGAACCTATTTCACTGCGCACGTGCTACGAGCACAGCCCAGCTGTTGAAACCACTTCAATTCCCCCAAGCGCTGGGGGAAAATTAGTGAATCGTTTGAACTACGATTTCACGCGGGGTTTTTCATCGCGTTATTTTTCAACTTTATAAGTTGAATTTGCATTTTTGATGATTTGTTTTGGTAAGTCCATACCGAAAGGTATCAGAATCTGCAAAGTTGTGTTTTACGTTGCATGTGACCTTTAACAAACATGTGGAAACAAATATTAAACTGAGCTAGAATAGCCTTCACTCAGCCATGGTTTTGATAAGAAGTATCCTATTTGAGTCGGGTTAACAGGCTCTCACTTGACTGATTACATGTCCGTGTTGAGTCATGTCATTTGTTCTTGCTCATGTATTCAATTTCTGGTTTGGCTGGTCCACACAGTGTTATTGGCAGACCATTTATACAATCTGGAACAGAATAATAACTGAAGAGGATGCTAATCTTTGGATACAAAAGTCCTAGTTGTGGAAGGCTGTGACAGATGCTGGATCAAGCAAAGGGAGATAACTCTCAGCAAGCTACACATCCACAACATATTAAATATATTTGAGAACTAAGCAAGGAAATACCAAATTTAAAAATTACCTTGAATTCAATTTCAAAATTTATTAGTGAAAAAGATCAGCATTTCTTTCATCCAAAGTATATATCCATGAAAAAGAAAGGAAAGGAGGGAAGGAAGGTTCTGGCTTATGCATAGAATAGTCAGATAATATGTGATATCTTCTCTGAATACTAGTAACTGCCATATTTCTGATATTCTTGAAATGATGCCCTCTCTTAACACCCTGGATGCCAGAGGGACATATATGTCCATCCTCTACAACCTTCTCTTTATTTATTATTTGCTTGTGTTTTGAAATGTCAAAATTGAATATTTACTTGGAGGTTTGAATTTCAATAATAGCATATTAGTGATCACGGACATCTGTAATTCTTATGAATATGTCCCCCAAACACTTGATTGCCTTATTTCCTGAAAGTTGTTTCTGATCCACAGGTTTAACTTGAATGCATTTTTTAAAACAGCTGTATGTCGTGTTGTCTTACTTCCTAGTGGTCTTCCCTTGTACTCTCCAAAGCAGTTGTTTCCCCTGACAGGCATAGAAAACTTCATAATTTTTCTTGTGTTGTCTTCCTCAATTGTTCTCTCCAAAGCAGTTGTTTTTCTCGTTGTTTTTCTATTTCAATCATATTCTAAGATGGGTACTTCATAATTACATTTTCTTCACCTTCAGAAACCAAACATTGCAGCAAATGTTGAAAACTTATGTCCCACCACAACCCTTGTTCTCTGAAAATTTGTCTCCATGCTTATCACCATTGTGATACTGCTCTTCTTTCTCCTTCTATTTCAATCGATATTGGCTAAGGGCATGAAACCACCCAAATTCAAGTATCATAACATCTGAGGAGCTGGACAGACTGACAGAGGTTCTGGTCGACATGGAGGAGCTTGGCTTCCTCCCTGTTCAGCCTGTTCTAAATACAACTTTTGTAGTTCCCCAGTGCCTACCATTAACATGATCTATCAAGGATGACTCTCCAAGTTCTACCTCTACCTGAAGAGATTGCAACACCACCATCTTCAATGGAGCATCATACAGCAACCACCTAATGGACAACCTACAAGTTAAAGATGAAACAGTGAATTACCACAGACCAAGCAAGTACATGTGTCTCCCCACAGAGATCTGATCACAGCCATCAATATGGAGATCCTGTATTCATACAGAAACCACCTCATGGACATCTTCAAGATGGACACTGTGTACAAAATAACTCATCAGGACTTACTTATCTGTGTGTACTTAAATGGACTCTGTTCAGGATAACAATGTGTTATTGTTGATAAGTGCAACCAGGTATGTTTGATCACAGGCCAGTACATTACCTTCTTATTCCGTGATATTGCAGTAAGAGCCCACCTTCCTGAGAAGAGGACTATATTGAAGAAAAACAGAGGTGCAACTGTGGATTTAATGGCCGAGGCTGTGGATGTTCTTGTGGGCTACCCCAATTTAGGAGATAAACGTATTGTGGTTTGAAATTAGATGAATGTTAGACCGTATTGATAGTCTCTAAATTTCATTTGAAGCCGAGCGCATAGCGTGAGGTTTCAAATGATTAATTTAGAGACTATCAATTCGGTCTAACATTCATCTAATTTCCAAACAAAGTATGTTTATCTCCATTCTACCTTAACCGATTTAAAATCGAACTTCCTTGTCCTGCGGAAGACACTGCATAATCCCGCATGGGACGAGAGGCAAATTGAACTCATCTTTGAAGGGAGTGGTAGGTGCTGTTCGTATTTTTTTTAACATTGCCTCCGTGAAAAATATTCTATCCAAAGAAAACAAACTACTGTTTATTCAATGCAATAATGTAACACCTAAGAGCTTGGTTTTTATAATCATAACTCCACACAACCGAAACCAGCCTATTGTTTTGTGTGCTGTGTTACTGTACCCCCCTGGCCACACTATAATGGAATCGTCTGACCTACTCATTTTCTTGGATGCAGACAGTTACGCAACAGTTTGAAATGGCGGAAATCGTATAATTGTATTTTTCGAGTTTAAATAAATGTTTTATCAGCATTTCCATCACGTCTGTTGTGTTGATATTAGTCATGTTGGTGGCCAAGCTGAAGTAGTGCGGCAGTGATGTATACGTGCGCAGTTAAGCGCCGTGAAATCAGACGCATTGTCAATCCAAAATTGATACCGTCTGATTTTATTGATTGACCAATCAGATTCGAGCATTTCACGTAGCCATGTTAAATTTCGCAATGGAATGCTAATAATAAGCCTAAAAGATTTTAGCTATGTGGCAACTTGTGTCACCAACATAGTTGTTACTAGCCAAAGAATGCTGAGGCCCAAATGATGAAAACGTCGCAACCCAACCAACGCTAGGGGTCAAAATTGGCAGCGAACGCTGCCAGGCCCAGCTGTGTAATTGCTAATCTCTAAATAATGCTAAGGCCCAAATGACGGAAACGTCGCAGGTCTAAATGGGAGTGAACGCCGCCAGGCCCCGATACTTAACTTAACTGTTTCTAGAAAACCCAAGAAAGACTGGGTTCCAACTGGTAAGAAGGTAACCCAGCCGAGGTTCCCGCTGGAAAAAAGCAGGTAACCGGAAACCCTAATTAACATATACATATTCTTATGAGTTATGTTGAAAGGAGGTAGCCCACAAGAACCATGCCACTCCACGACATGATTTATTCAGGAACTAATAACATATATACAATACTTAGAGCTTAACTGTTACTAGATTCCCTGAGTGAAAACCCGGGAAAGACTGGGTTCCAATTGGTAAGAAGCTGGAAAGCAGGTAACCAGAAACCCTAATTAACATATACATATTCTTATGAGTTATGTTGAAAGGAGGTAGCCCACAAGAACCACGCCACCTAGCACAACAGTGCTACCCCACACCATACGGCTAAGGTTGAATATATATGTACCCGCCATGATTGCCTCATATAAGAATTGACATACCTCTTAAATCTGCACTTACTTGAAAATATGTACCAAGGCATCGTTTATGTCCCTGATGAATTGGTGAACCCCTTTACTGCAAAGGTGAGTCCCATCCCACTGGAACCAGGATGGGTCCGCGGCCACTATACGTGGTTGGGGGATTACTGCAAAGTTCGGGATTTGGCTAAAATGGTTGGCTAGATGCCTGTTTAGTTTGGACCTACTGCGGTCCACCTTACGTGGGTCCCGCACATTTTGCCAATAACGACGTGGCAAGATGTGCGAGTATAGCACCTTGGTGTTTGGCAGGTGAACCTGTAGCCACTTTATTGAAGCCTCCATGTCGCTCAGCAGCTGGCACAAAGTCATTAGATCCCAGGTGAATTACCATGGCCATTGGGGGTCGCCGCATCACTTGGACTTGGGCATCGATCAGCTGGTCGAGTTCCGCCAAACGCAAGCCCCCCTCGCAAGCCACAGGATCGTTCTGTGGTGAGCCAAATCCATCTGATGCAGTGGGAGCTCTCATCTGGTCCTTGCCACGTAGCTCGATCCT